CGATCTCTTTCTTTTTTTGAGAAGGAAGACAACAAAAGGGTCAGCAGGACAGAAAATGCAGAACGTACCAGTCACACGAACCAGAATCTTCTCCTCTTCCTGTCTTCTAGTTCAAATTAGGTGTCTCTCATTTCCAACAGAAAAAACTATCTTAATTTCAAAATCCTATCATATTTTATATTTAATACCATTGTCAAATCTTTCTATTTTGTAGGTATAATATTAGACATGAGATTTGCAGTTCTTTGTGCTGATAGGTATAAATCTAAATCTATAAAAATTAAATTTGCAACATGAGAACCAATCTGAAAGATTATTGTGATGCCATTAATTCCTTTAAAAAATGCAGGCTAGCAGTTTTTTAGTGGAAACTGTATGAGACATCATGCTAGAAACTTTTGATAAATTAGCTCATTTTATTTTCACAAAACTCTTGAGGTAGATGCAACTATTACTTCGTTTCATAGTGAAGACTTGGTCTCAGAGGGATTAAAACCAACCCCACGCCCCTCTGCTGTTTTGCAAGGCAGCCTGTTAGGGCAGTTACATGGACTGAATGTTTTTGTGTGCCTCCCAAAACCATATGTTGAAACCTGAACCTGCAATGGGATTGTGTTAGGAGGTTAGCTTTGGGAGATGATAAAGTCACGAGGGTGGAGTCCTCATAAATTGGATTAATGTCTTTATAAAAATGTCTCAGAGAGCTCACTTCCTTCTTCCGCCATGTGAGGACACAACGAGAAGTTGGTAACACAAAAAAGGGCTGTCACCAGAACTGGACCATGCTGGACCCCTGATTCAGATCTCTAGCCTCCAGAACTGTGAGAAATACATTTCTGTGGTTTCTGCGGCACCACAGGGCACTTTGTCCTAGCAACCTGAACTAAGACAGGCAGAGAAGCATCCTAAAAGGTTATGCTGTACAAGTCCTGTTTATTAACATGAAAATATACCCAGTACATACTGTTGAGAAAAAATATATGTAACAATTATATAAAGTAGAAGAATTCCATTGATATAAAAGCTTTTTTAATACTTATATATTTCTATAGATATCTAGACAAAATTATGTGTATTTATACAATTCATATTTTATATATTTAGATATTTTCTCTAAAAAGATATCTAGGTAAGTCACACTAATACATTCTATTTTACATATAGGTACAGATATAACTATAACATGTATATAAAGTATGTTACATATTTATGTATTTCCATAAGGAGATATCTGGAAAAATGTTTACCAGTAAATCTGGTTTAAATTATTTTAAACTTTCTTTGCTGTTTTATGTTTTCTTTGAATTTTTAAAGTGAAAGTGTATTGCTTTTATAAAATCAATGCAGCTTAACAATACCAATAACTACCCAAAGACCAATAGATCCTTCATGAATACCACAGCATTAAAAAGGACAAATAAAATACAAAGGATTATAATTCTGATATAGCAGCCAATGTATTCCCTTATTCAATAAATCCTCATCGGGTAGAGGGTGTTGTGGGAGGTACCTGTGGTAAAATGGTGAACAAAGTAGACAGAGTCTCTAACATTAATGTGTAAGATGCTTTTGAAAGCAGCTTGCAGAGCCCTGATGGAATCTGATACGTACAAACATGCATTTGTATGTCATGGATGCGACTGTGTACCTCTGAGTTGTGGGGAGGTGAAGGTGGAAGCAAGCAGAGCCCTAAGGAAGTCCATCCCTCAAAACATGCATTGTTCTTTGCTGACATCCAGGAGCAGGCTCTGTGATACCCTCATGGATAAGGCTCAGTGAGGTCAGTCACTAGGAAGGGTTGTATATAGGTCACCATCTCCTTCTCAGAACTGAATATACAACAGTGCATAGCTTACCTGCAGAAGTAGTGATGTATCTATGTGCTAGCCTGTCAGTGTGCATGGACACTACTATTTTTGTATGCCTTCCAGAATAAGTATTTACCAAACACATTGCACAATTCAAAGTAAAAAAAGGGGGGGGGACCTTTATTTCAAAAGGGAGAAATGAAACATGGTTAAGAAAGTTGGAGGTAATTTTCAGCTACTTTGATGGTAACCTGAAAAGCCTCCAGGAAAATTTGTTCCTGAGTCCTTGGTCCGATTATTTTTCTTTCTCTCCTGTCTTCCTCCATCATCCTGTCCTCACACAATGGTTGGGAAACAGACTGCTGCGCGGATCTGACAGCAGACCTGTCAGAGCAATGGCACGGCCCGTCCCTGATGCAACAGAAAGGACAGCTTGGAACTTGGAGTATTTGGAAAAGCGCAGCAACACTCTAGGAATTGTGAGGCCCTCTGTGTTGATTATAGATTACCCACAAATCTGGATTCATAGGTAGTTCAAATGTCCAAGACCTGAGAATCAAAATTCCATTACTGGAGTCACTTAGATGTTATAAATATAGAATAAAGGAGACACACACACACACACACACACACACACACACACACACACAGCATGTCAAGCAGAGGAGCAGACCCAGGCGTGAAGGCAAAGAGGTGTGCATCAGTGTGATTTTCAGGTATCTGCAGCCACTCTGGATGGCTGAACCCAAGGGTCCTATGTTATGATGGGGGAAGAGGCAAGATGGAGCAGAGACCAGGATTGGAGTGGAAATTAGGGCCCAGAAAGTGAAAAGTCCTTGAATGCTGAATGAAGGAATTACATTTTTATTCTTAAGACTATGCAGATCCTTGAGAAGTTATTGAAAGATTTTAAGTTAGGAATGACATGTCCGGGGTTTAACTGGGATGGAGCAGGAGAGTTCCATGTAGCAGTTTTCAGTAGATCAGTGCTGTCTCTGGGTTGGGGGAAGAAGGTGACAGGAGTCAGGCAAATGGTTTGCTGTGATACTCTCTCCCCTTCCCCAGCCCCACTGAAGAACAGAAATTACAACCAGGAAAGCTCAGCGCTGCTTTTTGCCCTTCCCCAGCTAGACCGAGGGCACTCCCTCCTGCCTCTCTCCTGGGTGGGCCCGCAGTGCGGTTGGGAAACCTCCTTTCCTTTCCAAAGCTACTTTAATTTTTTTGCTTTACCAAATTTTATCTATTGAAGAACAGAGTTGAAGGAAGTGGACAGCACCATAAGTCACCTCTTTGCCTGAACCCTCTACAGGGGACCTGTAAGTAGGGGTGTACTCTAAAGAGTGAAATGATGTTTTGGAGATAAATACTGGGAAATGCAGGGTTTTCTTGTAATCACCTTGCTTTTTACATCTAAGTATGGCTTTATTGCTCATGGTGGATAACTGAGCGCTTTTATTTATTTTTTCATTCTCTTCATTTTTAAAAAAAATAAAGAAATGTAACGATGGAGGAATATTAACAGAAAGAGTTTACAAACTCTAAGTAAACAAGAAAGAAGAAGACATAACCCGATAGAACCTTGAGCAAAGATTATGGAAAGGGCAAGTGATGCTTCCTTTCATGCAGCCTTTCACGTATGCTCACGTTGCCTCTGGGTATGCACTGACTTCGGGCAAAGCGAATCCACGAGGACTTCAAGTCTTCATGGGGTTTTTCCTCCCTGTTTTTTAAAGCTGTTGGGGAAGTCCAGCAGTGGCTAGGGCAGATTATCAGACCTTCTGGGAAAAGATGGAAGCTGGCGTTTGGATTAGGATCTCCTGTATCCCAGAAATTCTAGTCCACAGGTCCTATCCCTATATGTGTCTGTTGCTAGGACTTGACCTAAGCAATTTGGTCAAGTACAACTATGAGATCTTTGGTAAGCAGTGATACGTAGCAACATTTAGAGGTTGTCAGGGTTAACTATGCCCTTGACCTCCCCACCTTCCTATCCAGTTTAAAGAAAGCAAACGTCAGACCAAATGCTGTCATGCATGCAGTCATTCACTAAACAAACATTCAGTAACAAGCAGACATCAAACAATTCACACAGTCTGTTCTGTAGGCTTAATGAATTTCCAGCTCTCTGTTCTTTTGTGTGTTTTGATGAGACCTAGCATGAAATATTTACACAAGGCAAATGTGACACTTTTAAAGGCAGGAGTCAGTTAGATTTATATCAGCATCAAGCAATAACAAAGTGGTTGGACCTAGTTCTGTTATAGAATCAATCTTCGGAAGCCTTTCTAAAAAGTGAAAGGCTCACTAGATTTTCATATTTATTTGAGAGTTCAAATAGATATAAATTATATTAGCCAATTTATATATTTTGATTTCATTACTGAGAACTCTATTTTGAATATCTGTGATCTGATTAAAAAGCCACAAATCTTCACCAGACTTTATCCTAGCATTCATTATGTTAATTTACTAAGCCTTTGGTATTGATTGGAGATAATGATATCAGAAAGGCTTGGAATAGCAACCTCTGGAGCATAGATAATTTTCTGATTAAATGCTAGTTGATCAGGCCTGGAGTGTACAGCTCTCACTAGAGTGTCACTTAAACTAATACGTGAAGAATATCACTGGTGTGTGTTGAAGTATTTTAAGTTACAGAACTCATAACACCTGCTACTACGGGCTGCATATTTGTGTGTTTCCCTTCTCCCTTACCCGCGGCTCCCTAAATCATTTGTTGAAACCATAATCCTCAATTTGGAGATGGGACCTTTTGGGATATAATTACATCACGAGGGTAGAGACCCCATGAAGGGGTTAGAGCTTTTATAAGAAGAGGCCAGAGAGCTAGCCAGCTCTGTCTCTGCCATATGAGCACAACACAGCAAGAAGACGATGATCTGTGAACCAGGGACTTCATGAAGAACTCTACCATTCTGGAACCCTGATCACAGACTCCAGCCTCCAGAACTGTGAGAAATAAATGTTTGTTTTCTAAACCACCCAGCCTATGATATTTTGCTACAGCAGCCCAACCGGACTAGGACACCTGCTGTGGTTAACATCCCAGACTACTAGCTAATGGAAACCTCACTGAGGTCCTCCCTTATTCCTGGTCAACTGAACAGAACAGACCCATATATATGCATTAAAAATGATGTGCTATGGGTACCCCTTTATAATATTTTTGTTTAGGGGAGAGCATGAACGCAATTCCCCAGTACCACAAATTGTGCATTTGAGTTTCCCACATTTGGGGAAACTGCAGTGGTCAGCACATCCGGAGTGCAATGGATAAGCCTCACCCTGGGAAAACCACTTTTGTGATCATGGTATCTCCCCTGCTAGGTAAGTACGTGTGGTACCCCTTTAAAACAACGAGAACATTTACATTGAGTCCCATCAAAATGGTCTTGTTACATTGCATTTACGCTGATTAACTCATTCATATTCCTCAGGAGGAAAGCTTCAGTTTGTAAAATAGTCCAAAATGTAATATGTCAAAGTGCAGCATATATTTAATGACATAATTTGATTAATAGTGCTTTAGAGAACACACTTGACATTTACTTAGGAAATTTGATTCTGCTGAGAATTGTTTGTCACTAAAAGTGTAATCTAAATTTATATTGATGTTATCTTCTGAAACCAAAATTGCCTTTCCTTCAATAAACAAATCACGCCAATTTTAGTCTTCTTCTTTTTTTTTTTTTAAATTGGGATTTGATGAGTATTTGTGGGTTGTTCTTCAACAACACCAGATAGCATACAGGATGACCATTTCACTACTGCGAGATAGAGAGCATCTTTCAGTACCGGGCAACATTGCAACAAATTTTAGAAACTTCCATTGAGATCTATGTTTCAAACAGTGTTTTAAAAAATATGAACAGCTCACACAACTTGCCAAGGCTTTTCTCTTTATTTTCTGGTTAGACTAACATTGGCTTTATTTTATTACATTGTTAGTGAAATGTGATAGTAGAACACGTAAGTTCAACTTGAATATTACAAATAATAGTTTTTCTCCTTACCAGAGTGTACCAATGAGTACAGGGATTCCCACCCCTGTGCATTGGTCTGCTGTATAAGTCAACTGATAGACCACGAGAGAATTTCTAAATATTCTTCAGAATACCCCCTTTATCACTGATGGGAAAAGGAGCAAGAGTCATCAGGTGAGACTCATTACCGAAGGAACCCAAATGACGTGTGCAGAGCTTTGCTGAGCAATTTGCTGTGAGGCTGGGGCTAGAGTAGAAATAGGTTGCCCAATAAAATACAGAATTCCCAGTTAAATTTGAGATTTAGATAAATGAATGGTTTTTTTAGTATAAGTATATATGTGTATAAATATGTGTTGGACATATTCACACTAAAATATTATTCCTTATTTACTAAAATTTAAGGTCCTCTGTATTTTTGTTTGTAAAGTCTGGAAACTCAAGGCAGGAGGTGGGGGAGATAGGAAGTCTATATTTCAATTTCTGTCTTTATTTGTTTATTGTAAATTGTTTTTTTCTTAATGGTGATCTTAAATGGAAGCTCCTTCAGAAAATCATTTTGAACTGAGATTTAGAGGGTTGCTTTTATTTCTACCTAAAACTTTGTGAATTTTTCTTTCTGAAATTTGAAAATCAAAGTAATGAGAAATGCACTTTTGGTTGTTTGGAAATGAGTAACTCCGGGACATTGAAAGGGGGAGGTCGCCCTGACCGGTTGCTCAGTGGTTAAAGCTCTGCCTGCGGTCCAGAGAGACCCGGGTTCGGTTCCCGCTAAGGGCACGTGTCTCGGTTGCAGGTAGTCCCGGCCCAGGTTGGGTCGTGCGGGAGGCGGCCACTCGATGTGTCCCTTTCACGTTGATGTTTCTCTCTCTCTCTCTCTTCCTCTCTCTCCCTCCCATTCTGTCTGAACAACAACAATAAAAAATAGTCCTGGGCGAGGATTAAAAAAAAGGGGGGGCCCTGGCCGGTTTGGCTCAGCGGTTAGAGCGTCCACCTGCGGTCCAGAGAGACCCGGGTTCGGTTCCCGCTAAGGCACGTACCTCGGTTGCAGTTTGTCCCCGGCCCTGGTTGGTCGTGTGGGTGGCAGCCACTCGATGTGTCCCTTTCACATCGATGTTTCCCTCTCTCTCTTTTCCTCTCTCTCCCTCCCACTATGTCTGTACAAAAAATGGAAAAATGTCCTCGGATGAGGATTAAAAAAAAAAAGAAAAAAAATAAAAAATAAAAAAATAAAAATAAAGGGGGGGGGAGGTGGACTGGATATCACCGCTGGATCGTTGGATATGGGTAGAATTTGTAGATTGTTTGACATACAGCTTGAAATCTAGGAAGCTCTACATTAATGTTCAAAATCAGATACACTTGAGTCCAACTACAAAACTTTGATGTTTTTGATGTTATCTTCCTTAAGATAGTGAAATGAATATAGCAATAGAATATCAATATTATTTTATTTAATCCTATGGATTTAATCTGTGGATTAAAGCAAATAATAATTGTTAACTTCTTAGCCTACTTGACTTATGCAAAATACTCAAGAAATGGTAACTTTGTTCTCATAAGGCTTTTCAAAATCAAGTGTGTTTTGCACAAAGTTAGATAATTTTTTTCTTAAAAAAAAAAAAAAGGAAATTCTTTAGGTTTACTAAGGTTACTTCAGGAAAAAATGTTTTTATTTGCTGTGTAAATCGGGCTAAGAAAAGGCATGAAGAAAGCTATTGTCTAGGAGGAGGAAGATCATGAACAATCTTGCTTGTTATTTTTTCTTTCCTTTTAAAAATTTCTCACCTCTTTTATTGCTAGATCTCTAGAAATAATCACCCAAATGCCCTTTTAATATTTTAACATCAATCATACACAAATATTCATTGTTTATTTGAGAAAATAGCGGAATTTATATTATCAGCAATAGTGATCAGCTAAAAGTCTGCGGTGTTTCAATGACGAAAAATTACATTCCCAATTCTTAGGAACCTTTGAAGATTTTATTTTTACTATTATTATAATAGTCTACTTTAAATATTTAGTAATTTTAACTTTATTTCTAATAACTAAAGAATATTGCTTTTCAAATTGATATCTTGTAGAAATGTGATATATTGATTGTAGTTAGGCAAGAGATAGATAATCTTGTGATGAAATTGGTATGTCATACCTATGTTTTCTTTGAGGAAATCAAGCTGTAATAACCTGGTGAGCCAAAGTCTCAGAATCTCTAGGGAGGGGATACCTTTCCCTGGAGCTGAAGCATGGCGGGTTCTGATTGGATTACACCTGGTCGAGTTGACTAAACCATTATTCTGATTATTTTAGATGAGATTACTTCATTCATCCTTTGTGGGATGAGGAGGTTCAGTGATTCAGAAGTTAAGTCCTCTTCAATTCCATATTTGAATCCATTGGGAATTTTTGCCGCCTAATTGACAAGGGAGAGGTTTACGGAAACATTTTCACTTAATAGGACACTACATTCATTCATTCATGACTAGATAGACACACTCTTAAACAATTTACAGTTAAAGGGAGATGGACCACCAGTGTGTATGGTTGGTTGAAAATAAGTATATATGTGGAAGAGGAGGGGAGATGAAGGAGATGGTCAGGAAAATCTGCTGAGACGTCAAGCTTAAAGTGAGGGTTGGAAGTGAGAAAAGGCATGTGACACAACAGCTGGTTTCAGAAGGAAACGAAGAACTGAAGCAGGTTGAGGGGTCTCCTTAGAACATGACCTATTTAAGAGATCTTAAGAAACCAAATAGAGGGAATTTTGCCTAGACCCAACAGAGTTATAACTTTCCGACTTATGTAAAACAAATTCTTTCTTTTTTAATTGACTAGAATAATAGCTACTGTCTCGGCATTTAATATGTAGCAAGTTTAAGCTGTACATATATCATCTCATTTACTCCTCATCACAACTCCTTAAAGTATAATTGTTTCCAGTATGCAAATGAAGAAACTGAGGCTCAGAGAAGTTTAAGAACTAGAGTCAAGGTTGAAACCCAAGCTTGTCTGCCCTCTTAGTCTATAGTCTGATTTGACCATTTTTGTATACTATTTCTCTGGGGTGATTGCTTAATATTTTCTCTTTACACTAAGAAGGTAGAGTACACAGAAGAAATCAACAGTTCTTTAAAATTAAATTATTAGCATGGCTTTTTATGCTGTTTCACCCACACACAAAGCAAATATATGCACTCAGACATTTACACAAAGTAGATACATACGTGATTCATTCTTATTCCCTGTTTTAATGGAATTATCCAGTAGAGAGGAGGAAAAGCAACAATTCAAATATTTGTTTATTGGCATACCCCAGGAAAACAGAATTCATTTGAGGAACTAAAGTTGAGATAGTTGTCTCATTTTCTAATGCTTTGCTGTTTCTAGATGTGTGTTTTTCTTTTTTCTTTTTCCTATCAGAAAAGGAGATTGGAAGCTTTGTTGTTAAATATATTGGGTCCATGTCCTGATGGATCAATGTTTTAAAGATTTGAGGCTGGCTGAATTTGTGATACAGATAAGAAAATAAGGGATACATGGAAATTACACAGATACAGCCAAATGAATGTCAAGACCCAGAAATGAAGATCATTTTCTGGATTCTTTTTTTAAAAAAATTTCTCTTGCTGCTTTTGAGCCCAACTGTGAAAATTCCATTCTTTGGGAGATAGTCTTAGAATAGTCTTCAGTATTTCCACTAGAGGGCAGTAATATCCTCTACTATATCCGTGATGGTAACTGTTCATTAGTCTGATAAAACAGTGAGAGGGATTAATCCAATCAAGATTGGATTGCAGGGGGGATTTGGTACCAAAGCCCAATAAAAGAGCAGCAATATTACAGCAACAATTGGAGCTACAAAGGATTTTTAAATCAAAGTTACAAAAAGAGTCAATTGCCATTGTTTATTGAAATGGGATGGTATCCAAAATGCTGCATATGGTGAATCCTGGACGCTGCTATTAGAAGCCTTCAGTGAGACTTGTAAATGGACATAATCTTTGGTGTCCCATGAGACCACAGGGAGATCATATTTCAGACCAGAAAAGAAGTAGGGATACAGCATTTCTTCTGAGGAACTCACATGTCTACATCACATTGTCTTGTGCGAGGAGCAGCTCTCTTGCCTCTGACTGAACTTGTCTCTCATTCAGCTATTGCAGATGGGCTTAACTGAATTAGACGTAAAGATGGGATATGAGTTGCAGGATGCTTATTAAGGAGAACACCTGTGGAAGGTATGGGGAGAAAGCACGACTGGGCAGAACATGAGGTTTAACTGTGAAGCAGGCCTGGCAAAGCCTTGGCCAACCTAGCCAGAAGCTTTGGAGAAGGGATTTCCCATCAGT